CGCCCTCCGTGGTGCATCAGTACTTCACTCAGGACAGCCCTTGGGGTTCCGGAGCCCCGGGACCCTCACACTCCAGCCGCCCACCATAGTTTCAGCGTCCTCGGCTTCACTCCTGCCGGTGGTGGTGCACTAGATAGGGTCCGCCTGCCCGCTCGCCACCTCCTCCAGGCAGCTTCCAGGGTCACGTGCGTATTAATGGAGTCAGTGCCTTGGGCGCCTCTTGAAGGGGGCCCCTCTGAGCAGCTGTTTTGAACCATCAGCAGTTTCGGTCGCCAGCTGGAGAGCATCCGGGGGTCAAGGCAGGCTGTGTGATCTGTTCAGCGCAAGCGCTCATCGGCGCGCAGCCTTGTCTCGGCATCGTTGGGCTGACAAGAACCTTGTTTCTTGACATCCTGGCTCTTCGTGAGGCATTCATTTTAGCGTGTTTATCTCCAGAGACCCGAGGAGGTACGGAAGCCCCAAGGAGTCCGGCCCGGCTGCGTTTCGCGTCGCACTCGCCCCCGCCTTGAGAGGCTCCAGCCATGCTTCCTTCCCGGCCCTTTAGGGGGCCCCACAGGCCGCCTGGCGTTCGCCTCGTCTCTGCACTCGGCTCCACCCGCTACGCCTCTATCCGAAAAGCGCTGCTCTTCCCGCGGCTGCGCACGCCGACCGGCTGGGCCCGGCGGTGGGACCGTTGGCCGAGTGTGAGCGCGCGCTTGGTGGCCCCAGGCGCAGGCCGTGTGCAAGGGGTGCCGCTCTGGGGAAGGGGTTTGGGCCTGAGACTCCCAGACCTCGGGCGCCCGCACGGCCGCCGTCCGGGAGCGGCTGGCTGCTCTGCGGGGTGTACAAAGAGAAGAACCCGGAGACAGGGGCGTGGAACCCATCAGAGACCGCTTGCTATCAGAGAAAGCAAGGACAGTGCCTTGTCGTTTTCATGTAGTGCCATCACGTGCGAAGGAAAACGTGAAGGAGCTTGACTTGTATTTTTGAGCCGATATTAAGGCAAAGTTATCCGAGAGACAGGTGCCACATGTTTGGATAGGGGCGCAGTTTCAGCGCTCTGTCGTGGGCTCTGTGTTCCGTAGATAGGTCTCTGTCCCTGGTTCTCCGGCTCCCGGGGCAGCCTCGGCCAGGACTCGTCCACCCGAGGCCTGGCATCACCTCGAGCCCCTTCAGCAAGCAGTTGGTGCAATCCCGGGTCTCCATGACGACATCGGCTTGGGGACCCGGGCGGGGTCGTGCCGGGGCGCATGCGCGGTGCGCGCCAGACGTAGCACGTCTTCTCCAGTCGCTGGAGCTGCTAGTGGCGGGGTTCCTGAACCGCGGTAAGGGCGTGGGGGCGGCCGACGTGGGGGCTCGAGGGGCCCGGGGGGGCGGGTTGGGGGTTCCCGGGGCTCGGGCAAAGCGGAATGAGGTCCGGGGCTCCGGGGCGGGCCGGCGTCGCTGACCCCTCCGCTCGCCGCAGGCGGCCCCGGGCTCCCTCCGCTCGGCCATGGCCCCCTCGTCCCCGTGCAGGTCGCTGATGTGGCCGCTGTTCCCGCTGCTGCTGCTGCTCGGTGCCGCGCTGCTGGGCGCCCAGGCCCGCGCGGAGCCCGCCGCCGGGAGCGCCGTCCCCGCCCAGAGTAGGTTCCCGCGCGCCCCCCAGCCCCGCAGCCCCGCCAGATCTTATCCCGGCACCGGAGCCCGTGCGCCTGAGCTGAGGGCCTACTGCGCGGGGCGCGGAGGGGTGCGGCAGGGCCACGCCTGGACTCGCCTTTGTTCCCCGGTCCTCAGCCCCGCCCGCCCAGTCCCAGTCCCGGGCCTAGGACGCCGCGGGGCTGAGTGGTGGGGGCCGGGCAGGGTCGGGGACCGGCTGCCTCCTGACCCGTGCGCCCCCCGCAGGTCGTCCGTGCGTCGACTGCCACGCCTTCGAGTTCATGCAACGCGCCCTGCAGGACCTGCGGAAGACGGCCTACAGCCTGGACGCGCGGGTGAGCGCCCGGGAGGCGTTTCCTGGCATCACTGGGTGGGGAGGGGGTGCTGAGGGACTAGAATGGGGAGAGGAGGCGGACGCAGGCTGGGAAGTGGAAGACCACCACTGCTGGGCCCTCCACCACCGTCTGGCTTCCACCCGCCTGGCGGCATCTGGCTGTACTTGTCCTTGGGGTTCTGGGTGCTGGTTACCCATGAACACCCCCCCAACTGGCCAGCAGGCTCTGCACTTAGGCCCCGTGGGGAAGCGAAGACAGCCTCAGTCAGCTGCCCGGGCCCTCCCCAAGGCCACTGGCCCCAGATCTGTGGCTGCCTCAGCTCCGAGCTAGTTTCTGAGGTGACAGTGAGGCCCAGTGAGCAGGGGTGAAATGGAGTGCCAGAACCAGGGCTCTTGTTCTCGGGGGTCTTAGAGTCCGGGACAGAAGAGGGTGTGGCAGCACTGTCAGGGATTGCGGTGGGGTAGTGACTCTGTCTCAGGCCCCCAGCGGAAGATCAGGGTGGGTGGGGTTCAGAGGAAGACTCCGGTCTCTAACTCTGACTGGGGGTGGGGGGGAGGCCGTGAAGTGGGCACAGCTTCCGGCCTCAGGATTTAGGGGACAGGAGCTACATTCTCCCTCCAAGTGTGGATGCCACTTGGCCAAAGGGGTTCTCACTTATGTCAGGGGTCTCTGCTCTTCCTGGAAAAGGGGAAGAACTCACAGAAGTAGAAGGGGGGACCCTGGCTTATCCTGCTTCCCACAGCCCTGCGCCCTTTAATGGTGTTTTTTGGGGCCCAGGTGTACCCAAGAGGAGGAGCCCTGGGGTGTCGGGGAGCTCGGGGAGGAGGAGCCAGCTGAGAGGGGCCAGGTGGAGGGGAAGGCAGGGAACAGCGTCCAGGCACAGGGAACAGCGTGTGTGAGGGCGTAGGGCAGGACAGGGTGCAGCAGGAGCAGCCGCGGGGACCCGGGGGGGCGGACGGGAGAGAGGGACAGAGCACAGGGAGTGGGGTCAGAGTAGGGGGTGACCACGTCAGGTCCAGGCCCTGAGGTCAGCTGCCCCAGAGCAGGTGGGGACAGGGCTGCCGTGGGTGGGGTGTCCTCGGGGCACTGTACGGCCCCTCAGTGGCCTGTTGGTGCTTTGCAGACGGAGACCTTGTTGCTGCAGGCGGAGCGCCGGGCCCTGTGTGCCTGCTGGCCTGCCGGGCGCTGAGGACCTCCAGCCGGGCACTGTCCTTTTTCAATAAACACCCCTATGCCACCTCTGTGTCCTGTCTCCCTCCTCTGGTACCTGAGCCTGCCTGCGTCAACGCTTTGGTCCCTGGTTTGCCCAGCTGCTCCGTGTGCACGGGGCCTCCTTGACACCTGTTCCGTGCCAGCACCTGGCAGACACACACCTGCCCACCTGTGTGGGCGGGTACCCACAGGTGTGGCCGCGGCCTTGGCAGGCCTGACCCCCATGATGCCTGGCTGTTCCCCGGCCTGCCTGCCTTTGTTTGGAGGCAGGAGTAATAAAGGGCCAGGCCCTCTCAGGCTTGTCTGCAAGGGAGGGGGTGGGGAGGAGTGGGGGGCTTCCTGGGGGCCGACTGGGGAGCACTGGCAGAGCTGGGGGCTGCTGTGGTAAGGAGGATCTGAGCTTGCCCGGAACAGACCCTGGTAGCCCCCGGCGGGGTGGGCAGTGGGTGACTGTCCCTCTGGTGGGGTGCGGCTGCCTCCCCACAGCCTCAGGAGCTGCTCTGCGGTATCCGCCTGCAGCCTCGAACTCCCGCCCCAGGCTTGGGGCTCTGGTGCTGACCACGGTCGTTCACACCCCTGAGCACAGGTTCACAATCACCCATAGGCATATGCACTGCACACACAGCCCAGCTGGCCAGGCGGGGGGACCAGCAAGTGAAGCCAGCCACACTTCGCTCCCTTCCGTTCGTTTCTTGAGCGCCTGTTAAAGGGGAGGGCCTTTTCCTGCACGCGTCCGGAAGGAGCCAGGAGTGTGGCCGGATGGAAGAGCGGAAGTGAGCCCTGCTTGTTCCTGGCGGCACCGCTTTTCCCTCCCGAGTCGGCTCCCTGCGTCACCGTCACCGCAGTGCTGCGCTGTGAGGCGCAGCAGTCTCAGCTTCTAGAACCCGCTGCCGCCGGCCCACTGCCGGAAACGACGGCGGGCTCTCGGCTCACACGCCCCCACCTCCCCGATCCCTGCGTCACTGCGTTGCCCCTGTGGGTCACTTTGTAACCAGTACAGGTGTATGCGTGCCGATGTTAGGTGCCAGGGAGTCAGCTCTGAGTCACGGTGACCCCACGTACCGCAGAATGAAACGCTGCCGTCCTAGGTCATTGCTGTGTTTGAGCCCACTGCAGTCCATCTCTTTGAGGGGTGTATGGCTATGTGTGCGAAAAGGAGCCCTGGTGGCACAGTGGTTGAACACTCGACTGTGAACTGAAAGGTCAGCAGTTCAAACCTATCGGCTGCTGTGTGGGAGAAAGATGAGGCACTCTGCTTCCATAAAGACTCAGCCTTGGAAACCCTCTGGGGGAGTTCTACTCTGCCCTCTAGGGGGCGCTGGGAGCCAGAGTTGACGGCAGCAGGTCTGGTTTTGGCTGTGTGTGTGTGTGTGTGTGTGTGTGTACATGTGTGTATCTCTCCATCTGTGTTCCGTGAATTCCAGGCACATCTTCCCTTCCCTTCCCTCCCTGCCCTCTGCACTGGCCTCCCAACCATTCACTTGTCTAGTTAGTGCTTTTGTATCTGGAAGCCCCTGGGAGGACCTGACACACAGTTGCCCAGGCCCTGCTCTAGGTGCTGGGACACAGTCAACAGACCAGGGTCCCCTCAGCAGGCAGCTGTGTGGTGGCAGGAAGACCTGCCTGTTAGGTGCGCGAGGCAGCGATGGTGACCATGGAGAATGAAGCTGGCAGGGGAAGACAGGTGGCTGGGGTGGGGAAGGTCCCTGGCAGGCTCTGTGAACGCACCCAAGCCTAGGCAGGAGCCAGTGTACTGGCAGGGACCTGGCTCCTCTGGTCTGTGGTTCAGCGGAGGGTGGGGTGGTGAGGCAGGTGCCCACTTAGCCCTGCAGTGTGAGGATCACTTTTATATGGTCTTTCTAGCTGTGGCTTGAAGCTTTCATCAAAAGGTTGGGTGGGTGTGTTAGGCTGGGTTCTTTAGAGAAGCAAAACCAGTAAAGCTGATATATATAGATAGAGAGAGAGAGAGAGAAAAAAATATCTTAGGAAAATGGCTCACACACATAGAAGCTGGCAAGTCCCAAGTTCTTGGATCAAACATCAAGCTGGAGGCTTTTCCCGACTCTCACAGCTGCAGGGGCTGAGGAGCTCAAGGTTGGCAGGCAATATACTGGCTGTTGACTCCAATGAATGACGAATCC